AGGAGGAGGAGGAGGAGGAGGAGAAAGGAAGAGGAATTCGATTCTTCCTTTGGATGCTTTTTCATGATGACGCAGGTTCATTCGTGGGAAGATATCCACAACATTCTCAAGCGAAGGATATTTGTACATAATGGAAGCGATCCAAAGTGAGTGAAAGATTATGATGATGTTTATGATTATGCTGCTGCTGCTGCTGCTGCTGCTGATGATGATGATGATGATGATGATGATGATGATGATGAAAACGACGATACCAGAGTTTGATGATTGTATTCTTTGAAGCAACTATCATGTCAATTTGCAATCTTCTGTACCTTTTAACCTACATCTTGTTCCACCCCTCCCCTCCTTCTTTCCCTCTCCTCTCATCGCTTCTCCTCCAGGCTCGACCCTGCCTGGGTCCTCCTCTGCAAGGGCAGCTGCTCCTCGGGCAAGACGGGCCTTCTCCATGGAGCCGATGCAGACTACTGGAGGAAACACCTGCTGGAGGGGAGGAGGTGGCGGCTGACGGAGCAGGACGAGATTGCGATCGCGATCCCCAAGAAGAAGGAGCGACTTATGTCCCTTGTTACGGTCCTGGAGGACGCGTCGCTGCTGCCCGAGGAGGAGGAGGAGGAGGAGGGGGCGGCGAAGCAGCTGCCGGGGCAGCACGTGGATGCAGAGCTGGAAGAGCGCTGGGAGGGAGCAGGGAGAGAGACAGAGGAGGACTCGAGCTCCGTCGTCTCCGTTCGGTTCCTGCGGAGCTCGCAGGGCGGGCCCTTCTTCCTGCCCTTCCACAAAGAGTGGCTGGAGAGCGTGAAGTCAAGGGAGGGGGAGGAGGGGAGGGAGGGGGAGGATGGGACCGAGGTCCTGCCGAGCGAGCCGGTGAGCTTTGCTCCTCTTGTTCATCCCTCCCCTTCCCCCCCTTCCTCCTCCTGCCTCCGATGTACCTCCGTCCTCATCCACCATCCCCGATCTTACCTCCTGCGCCTCTACTGTCTTCTTTTGCCCTCCGTCTCGTTTCCTCTCCTCCTCTCCTCTCCTCTCCTCGTCCTCCCCTCCCTTTCCTGCTCCTTTCCTCGCCCTCTGCTCCACCTCCTCCTGCGTTTCTCCTAGGGCGGGAGATTTCTTTCTCCTCTTACTACAAGGCAGGTCCTGGCATCCAATCTCGGAGGCAGGAAGCAGCAGCCAGCAAATTTCTCCCTCCCTTTCCCGCAAGACTTTTCCTCCTCCCTCCCGCAGGTTTTTCCTCCCGCCGAGTCCATACGCGCTGCCCTGGACCGGTTCACCAACCTCAACTTGCGCGAGCAGAAACCGTCGCTCCTGCTCTCCCGCCGGCATCCTGACGACCAAGAGGGCAACGGGAGGGAGGAAGAGGGGGGAGGGATCAGCGTATGAGGAGGTAGAGAACGAAGAAAACGTTTCACTGAGATACCCTCGTCCTCCTCCTCGCCCTCCTCCTCGCCCTCCTCCTCGCCCTCCGCTTCGTTCTCCTCGCCCTCCCTCCTCCCTCCCTCCTCCTTTCCTGGAATTCTACTCCTTCCACAAGTTTTTTGCTGCTTGCTCCCACTCATCCACCTGCCACCGATTATCCTCCTCCTCCTCCTCATCCTCCGCCTTCTTTCTTGCTGCATCCTCGTCCTCCTTCTCGTCCTCGTCCTCGTCCTCGTCCTCGTCCCACAGCTGCTGTCCCCCCTTTCCTGGCTCTGCTCCTTTCTCAGCCTCTGCCTGCTCCTGGAGAAACAACGCAAGCCCGGGGTGATTGTCGGCAGGATGTATCTGGAAAGAGACTGTGAGGAGGTAGAGGAATGAGGCAGAAACTCGTGCAGATGTGCGTGCGTTGCTGAGGATCAGGAGGAGGAGGAAGAGGCGGGGGCGGGGGATGGGGGGGCGGGCGGGGAGGAAGGAGGAAAAAAGGAGAGGAGGGGGGCTGGGTAGGGGGGCTGGGGAGTCTGGGAGGAGAAGAGAGCGAAGAACAAGAAAGATTTGATTTCACCTTTCCCTGTCGGTCCCATCCGAACCACTTCCCATCTTCCTGTAAGGGAATGAGGAAGAAGAGAGGAGGAGGAGGAGCAGCAAGGAGAGCAGAGGAGTAGGAGGGAGGCGAGAGATAAGGAGGAGGAGGAGGAAGAGGAGGAGGAGGAGGAGGAGCAGCAAGGAGGGCAGAGGATTAGGAGGGAGGCGAGAGATAAGGAGGAGGAGGAGGAAGAGGAGGAGGAGGAGAGCCATCGCCAGGAAGCAAGGAGGAAAAGACAAGGGAGGGTTCAAACCTCGTAGAAACCGAGAGCAGGATTGATGCTGTTGTCCTCCTTGTCCTTGATTGCTCCTTCCAAGTCAACCCCGAAGTTCTTACGGATGTACTGCAATAAATTGTGATGATGATGGCCATACGGAGTAGAGGAGGAGGAAGACGAGGCAGGTGGAGGTGGAGGGGGGGGGGGGAAGAGGAGGAGGCAGGTGGAGGGAGAGGGGGAGGAGGAGGCAGGTGGAGGGGGAGGGGGAGGAGGCAGGTGGGGGGATGAATAGAGGAGGAAAGGTGGAGGAAAGGCCAGATAGGAGAGAGAAATGGGGGAGCCTTGATGACTGTGGTGGTGATGATGATGATGATGGAGATAACAATGATGATGATGATGATGATGATGATGATGATGAAATCGTCTTGAAAGTTACCTGGGAAATGTTCTGCATGTTGTCGTCCCACTCCTTGACAGTTCTGTCAATTTTCTCATTCCCTCGCACATTATCATCGAAGTTCAAGTTTCACCGCTGGAACGAGGCTGCTTCTTCCGCCACCGGCTGCATCTCCTAAGAATTGTCCTCAATTTTGGGAAGAGGAGAGGAGAGGAGAGTAACGGAGAGTAGAGGAGGAGGAGAGAGACCAAGAGGAGAGGGTAGGAGAGTAGAGGAGAGTAAAGGAGAAGAGAGGAGGAGGAGAGAGAAGGAGAGGAGAGTGTAGGAGGGAGGAAAGATGAAGGAGGAGAGGGCCGGCAAAACGATGAAGGAGAAGGAGGAAGGGAGGGGGAAAGGGAAGAAGGACAGGGAGAGGGAAGGGAAGGAGGAAGGGAAAGGAGGAGGCGAGGGAGAGGCGGAGGTGGAGAGAGCGCGCGGAGGGAGCAGGAGTTGTACCCCATCAAAGAACTCGTCCATGCTCAGCCCCTCGTGGGCCTCGACGGGTTTCACCGGGAACATCTCAACGATCTTGTCAGGGGAGCGAGCAGGGTCAAGGTGTTTCACCTCCCGCGCTGCTTTGAACTCCTGGAAGAAACTCTGATGCTGGTTTGCGAAACGTCGATCCTCCTCCATCGCAGCCTTCAGCTCAGCGGAATCGAGTTGTGACAAGTCCCCACGGTCGGCTCCTCCCTGCTGCAGTACCGCCCTCTCCTCCCGCAGTGGGGGAGGGAACTGATCTCGAATTTCGCTCAACTCCTCCTCTCTCTGCTTGCTCGCGCCTGTGATCTTCGCTACCAGCATGTCCACCTCCTTGTCCCCGATGTTGTTCCCGTGCTTCTTCAGGTCCTCCACAGCCTCCAGCACGTTGTTCAGGCTGATGGTCTTACCGTAGTCCTCCTCCTCCTTCCTCCTCTCCGGCCTCTTCGACCTCGACTGGTAGAAGCTGATCAGTTCCACAAACTCCTCCCGCTTCCTCGCGTTTTCGATGTGCTTGTTCACCATGTCCTGCCAGACAGCACGTTTCAGCAAGGGGTTTCCGAGCGAGCGAGCATCTTTGGGTGTACAACTCACCATGACTGAGATTCTCTCGAACGTCACAGCGAACGGGTCGCTCCCCGCGTTCAACAAGCACGACAGCACTCCCTTGTTCCCGTTCATCACAGCCTATCCACCTCCAGGTCAGCGACTCCACCATGGAGGAGGCGAGCCAGCCGACCTCGTGCAGCGGGAGGATCCCTTTGTCGTCGGCATGGTTGGGTAGGGCCCCGAGGTCGAGGAGCAAGAGAGTGCTGGGTAAGTCATGGGACGCCTGTCAAGTCGCTTCAGCCCAGCACCCGAAGACTCTCAGCAAGCACGTAATGGAGCGGCGTCCTCCCCCGGTAGTCCCGCACGTTCACGTCGCATCCCTTGGCCACTAGCAACGCAGCTGCTCCCAGTCGATGCTCCTCTGCGCGTGCAGTCAGCCAGCATCCCTCCTTCTCCCTCTCAACCTTTCCCCTCTCCTCCCCATCCTCATCCTCCTCCTGATCATCATCATCATCATCATCATCATCATCATTTCTCTCCCCCTCTCCTCTCTCTCTCTGCCCCCCCCTCTCACTGATCGCCATGTGCAGGGAGGTAATGCCGTCCTTGTTGAACTTCTCCAGCGATGCGGATCGCCTGAGCGCGAGCTCGATGTCGTAGATCTTGCCAGCCGTCGACGCGTTCCAGAGCAGCAGCTGCTCCGACGGCTCGTCGTCGTCATTCTCTTGCTCCTCCGCAGAGGAGGAGCTCAGCCCCAGCGGCAGCCCCATCTCTTTCGCAATGGTGCTGAAAGTGTTCAAGTCGGCATTGTCGTTCCTAGCGTTGACCGGCTTGCAGCTGGGCGGCATGGAAGCCTCGACGTGCGCGAGCAGGAGACAGAGACAGAGGACGAAGAAAGCTGTCCTCATGCTCTTGGACGATCCCTTTCGCCCTTCCCTTGTTACCAGTCTTTCCCCCCATGCTCCGCTACCTTCACTCCTCCTCATGCTCCCCCTCTACGCTCCGTTTCTCTCTCTCCTCCTGTATCCTGCCTCTCTCCCTCCCTCTCTCCCTCCCTCTCTTCTTCCTCACTCGCTCTGCCCTCGTTCCCCGCTTGTCCCCCCCCCTCCTTTTCACTACCCCACTGGCCAAGAATGCGTCCCCTCAATTGATCCCCCCCACTCCCCTCCTCCCCCCCCTCCCCCCCCCCCTCGCGCGAGCATGCGGGCCTGCTCCTCCTCCGTGAGCCCGCGCGCATGCTCTCTGCTCTACGCTCCGATGCTCTTGAGGGATCACCCGTCATGGCGACAAGTCGACAAGTAAATGTTGGTGAAGCAGACAACAACCAGACGTTTCATTCACAACAAGTACACTTCATCTCAGACAACACGTAGATGCTTCATTCACAACAAGTACACTTCATCTCAGACAACACGTAGATGCTTCATTCACAACAAGTACACTTTATCTCAGACAACACGTAGATGCTTCATTCACATCAAGTACACTTCATCTCAGACAACACGTAGATGCTTCATTCACATCAAGTACACTTTATCTCAGACAACACGTAGATGCTTCATTCACAACATACATATCTCTCCCCTCCTCCCTCCCCGATCAGAGTATGAATGGAATGACAGCCTTCCTCCTCTTGGGGTAGTCCGGGAACTTCGACAAGTACCACAGGTGATGGTGATATGCTCTCGGCGCGATGTTACCTGTCCTAGCGCGTCAGCGCCGAGCATCTCACAAGGTCTCGCTACAGAAGGTGAAGACGGCGAACGCGGCAGACTGGAGAGTCCAGGAAGCAACAGCGAAGCCCGTCCACCTGTCTCCTGCTCAGCATGTTGCGGTACAAGCAATCGATCCGTACTCAATGATCTCTCCAAGAAAGTTTGCCCCTGACACCTGCGCCTTGTGTGATTCCACCAGGCCTCCTCTTCTTCCTCCTCTTCCTCCTCTCCCCCTTCCCCCTTCAAATGTCCTCCTCCGCTGCTCTCCCCTTCCTCTCCCCTCTCCGCTCCTCTTCCCTTCCTCCCGCCATCTTTTCCTCTCTCCTTCCTCCCTCCTCCCTCCCCTCCTCCTCCCTCCCTCCTCCTCCTCCCCCCTCCCTCCTCCTTCCTCCCTCCTCCTCCCCCCCCTTGGGCGTGCTCACGAATCGAAACATCCCCCCCCTTGGAATCTTGTATCCGACTTCCCCTGGTTTCCTCAGCCTCCTGAGAATGTCGTCGGACTGGCATAGAGTTAGTGACTTGCACCTCTCAATTGAGAATCGGATGAGGAGAAAAGTGTGCTGGCGTTCATGGTGATGGTAGTTCATGAGAGGAGGAGGAGGAGGAGGAGGAGGAGGAGGAGGAGGAGGAGGAGGAGGAGGAGGAGGACCTGGAAGTTGATGAGCATCCCGCAGAAGAAGATGGTAACTCCGATCCCTAGCGGAGCAGTGAGAAGTCAACGAGGTCTGCTGATCACCAGCTACCGAAGCGAGGATCGATGAACCAGCTCTCCTCGTACTTCTTCACGTGCGTCAGCATGCGAGTCTGCGCAACAACAGTCACGCGCGAGAATGCGCGTTGCAGCTCGTTACTTGCATGTAGCCGTTGACGACGCAGAACAGCCAGGCCATCAGCATCACCTGCGATCCTCCCAGTCAGCTGCGGGGAGGGGAGAGGGGAGGGAGCATGGAGGGGCAGGCGGTACCGATAGCGGCGTCGGCTTCGATCCCCTCGTCCGCCATGGGTAAAGCAGCGCCCGGTTCACGTAGTGCGCCATGAACAACGCCAGCCTGTCAAGCTCTTTGTGAGCTCGTCGAGTGAGGCTGAGCGAGTAGACCAACAGGATCGTGTTGGCCGTGGACTGCATGACGTCGTGATTCGCCGTCAAGATGTTCGACATGCCAATGATCACGCACGGTACTTCCTGCATCATCGTCATCGTCATCGTCATCGTCGTCATCATCAGTAGTTGTGCTCAGGAAGCTTTATCGCCAAGGCGCCATCGCTCCTCTTCCTACCTGCAGGAACCATGCGATCCTTGCGTTGATCTTGAACCCCCACAACCAGCTGCAGTCTGTCGCGTACCTCCCGTAGACCACCCGCACCCCTGACATGATGATGACGAAGACAGCGATGCCTGTGTAGATCATGGCGGTTGCGACGTAGGCGAGCTGCTTCTCCTCTGTGTCCAACCCCTTGGGAATGACGGCGAGCAATGCGGTCCTTCGAACCCCATCACCACAGCACGGGGATGAAGCGCGTACCTTGTTTGAGTGGCAGGCAGCCCCAGCAGTTGATACACGAAGTCTCCTCCTCCTCCTCCTCCTCCTCCTCCTCCTCCTCCCGCGCTCTCCGCCGCCCTCCGCGCCATCTCCTCCGGCGTGAGGGTCATCCTTGCCATGTTGTGCACCCCGCCGTGTTGAGTAAAAAACTGCCCCCATGGCGAGGGTGGCGACAGGGCAGGGCGGGGGCGTGGAGGAGGGATGAAGGATGAGCAGCCTAGCGGTCTCTCTGTATCAGAGCGAGCTCCACCTCAAGGTCCTCGAGGCTATCAATGAGAACAGGAGGGTGCAGCGGAGGAACGCGAGGAGATGGAGGGAGAGGGAGGTTTCCTTCTGGTGATGCGTACTCGGGCCGTGGGGGCAGGGGACTGAACCTTGACGCAGGGGGTGGGAGAAGTTCTGGCATGGGGTGGACTCGAAGAGGAGGTACACCGACGAGAGAGTGAGGCAGATGACGGTCATCGCCGAGACCAGCGCCCTCATCGCTGGCTTCCAGATGATCATGTTCTACGAGCTACCCCAGCCCTCGCTGACCGAGTACGAGTTCAGCTCTGTCCTCCTCGCAGTCTGGGGCCTCCTCTGCCTTTTCGTCGCTTGCACCAACTTGTGCGTGCTGTTTGCGGCCATGATCATAGCAGTGAACATGCTCGACGCCTCGTCCCACGAGACCGTCGGAGGAGCTACCTCGCCGCAAGGGAGGAGGGCGCCGTTCTCTCGGGACAACCCTGACGGCTTCATTGATGACGCTCAGGGGATGGAGATACTGTGGCAGGTTCGAGCCTCCTGCCTTTCGTTTGAGCATAATTATGTGATCCTTGCTGCAGGTGCGGCATGAGAAACGCTACATCCAGGTCCTGAACCTGTTCGCGGTCTCCATCCCATTCTTTGTCATCAACGTTGGCATCACGACTTTTGTCAAGTTTTATTCTTCAACGGTATCAGCATGGTTTGGATTGTCTCTGGCGATCTTCAGTGTTGTCTTGTGGTGGAAGTTTCATTCCCCAGCGATGGAGCATTTGAGATGGCCATCGATGCAGGGAAAATCTTGAACTCCCCTACCGAAAGGTCTGTCATTGTGAATGTCTGGTGAATCTAAACATCAAACGTGGTGGAGGAACCAAATGTACCAAGTACCGGTACTTTTGTGTGATACATTTCAGTCTTTCTGATACAGGTAGATGTCTTAAGTTTTGTACAGTAAAGTATAACTCATTCCTTATTCTCTAAACGCTCCATTAGAGCTTGTTGGAGATGGTGCATCTGAGGGAGCAAGGTGATCAGGGTTCGACAAGGGAGGAGGAGAAGAAGCACTGATACAGTTACTTACCTTCTTCTTCGAAGTGAAATCAACAGCAAACTTGTTCCAATCCGTCGAAGCGTCGGTGAGCTCCACCATCTGCCTGCACTCGCTATTTGTTACAGCAGCAGCGCTCTCCAGCTGCTTCTTTGCCGCTTCTGTACGGTCCTCCTGCTCACTCGCTCTTAGCCAGGAACATCACCGGGAGCAACGAGATCGCACCATAGCCTCCTTCTTGATCTCATCATATCTTGGTCGCAGCACAGCTTGTCGTTCCTGAACCAGCTGGCGGAGTTCTTGCACCTGTGTAGACAAGGACTCGATCGCTGTGTGTAGATCTACATTCTTCTTCGCGCTCGCTATGTTGGAATCCTTGATCGCTCGGATTAATTCCTGCTTCTCTTTCACTATAGGGATGTTCTTCTCGAAGTACACGTCGAACGCGTCTTGATCTTCCATCAGCTTTTTGAGCTCTTCTATTTGCAGAGACTTGAGAGAGTCGCTCACTTGCGCAAGAACTCCACCCGTCCTCGACCCCATCTTCCGTTCTGTCTTTCCAATCAACCTGAGCAAACAGATGGCAAAGAGATCAGACAGAAGTAATGGGTGCAAGCAGGAAGATCGCGCAAAATTAGATATTCGCTCAGAAGTGAAGACATTCAATATGATTTCAGTGGGATCTGCAGCCCCTAACCTCGAGCAACAGGATTTAAATCCAGAGCTAGTGCCATGGAAAGCAAGGTCCTTTTCAATGCATTCCTTACGACCTTGACGCCGCCACATCACCACAAAGCAATCTCAACATGAGTGATGATTTCACACGATGATATGAGGGACATGATGAACAAGATGTGATCGGGAATCGTTCTTCCTCATCTCACCCTCCTCGCCCTCCCCTCCATCACCCAACTTTCTCTGGTTCCGAAATGATCTACGCCATCTGATTGTTGTGTACCCACCCCCATTCATCACCCCTTTTTGATCACCCCCACCACCTTAAACATCTGATAACCCCATAGCACAGACAACTACGGTGGTTGTACCCAGTGTTGTAGTATGATATACCTTTCAACACCCTTTCACATGACCCCTCTTTTTGAAACCACCCTTCCTATTCACCGTTTGAGAGATCTACACCCCCACTTTCAAGTACCCACTCTACTCCACAAAACCACCCCACCACCACCATCCGAACATTTCTCTGAGAATTGGTGGGGTGGGGTAATGGCTCCTGTAGCAGCCTGCCGGGTCGGGCCCGGCCAGGGGCCCGGCGGCCGCCGGGCAGGTCGAAGTCTTAGTGGGGATGTGGCTCTCCACCAGGAGGCCACTGCAAGGACACAATGCTGGCCAAGGTCGCCCTGATGCTTGCCGGCATGGCGGCAGCGGGAGAAGCGTTCATGCTCCCCTCCTCCTGCAGCTCATCTCTTGCTCTACGATCAGCGAGCACACCCCGCCTGAACACATGCCTCTCCTCTTCGGCGAGGAATAATGTCAGGCAAGGAACCACTGCTTTAAGTATGGCATCGGACTGGTACACGGTTGAGAAGTTGGAAGAAGGCGAGGGGAATGCAGCAAAGTACAAGTTCACTGTAACAGTAGATGGTCAGATGTCGAAGGATTCATACAGTAAGTGAACTTCTTGTCTGTAAAAAGTTCGATATTGACTTGAGATTGACTCTGCAGCTGCTATCATGAAGGACTTCAAGAAGAACGCGCAGTTCCCTGGATTCCGTAAGGGAAGCATCCCTCCATTCATGATCCCGAAGGTGAAGCAGTTTGTAATCCTCGAATGCCTCGAGAAGAGTCTCGGAGAGGCCGTGAGGGAGCAGGCGCTGGAGCTTGCAGATGAGAATAACAAACCCAACTTGGATGATGCGCAGGTAGCAGAGCTGACGAAGACCTTCAATGAGAACAATGGATTCAAGTACACCATCGAAGCCCTCCTCAAGCCCTCTACGGCAGAGGAGGCGAAGTCCGCATAATCCTTCATCAGCTATCGATAGGAACTAAAAACGCTCTTGAAAACAATAAACCATAAAGCATTTCTGTATTGTTCGGATTCATGTGTCAGGAGGATGTCAATGAGTTTTTGATGCCGGGCAGGCTCTTCATGAAAGCAATTTCAATCTCTTGCACTGTGTTCACCTACGTGATTTTGTGGTTTCAAGACATGCTTAGTGTTCCCTCAAGATTCATTCTTAAGTAGATTCCACATTAAAAGAATTCTGGATAGATTGAATAAGTAGTGCAGGACAATGCTTAAATCAGTTGAGCAAGTCATTGAGGAGGACTTGGTGCTACCTCTTGTTGCTTAACTTTCGCTTCTGCTTTGCTTTTCTTCCCTTGCCCTTTCATGGGGCTTACAAAGAGGCTTACAACATTGCCAGTCATGGTCGTCTGCTCGTCAGGGACCCCAACTTCCTTCACTTGTGTGCTGATTTCTTTGAGAAGGGCTGCAGCTTTGTTTTGAGACCTGTAGAAGTCTGCTCCTCGGAGTTGGATGTAAAGCTTCACTTTGTTGTTCTTGGCAAGGAACTCCTTAGCCTGTTTCATCTTGAAATCCAGATCATGCTGACCGATGTTCAGTCCAAGCCTAACCTCCTTGAGGACTGAGGTCTCGGACTTCTTGGCAGCCTCCTTCTTCTTCTTTTGCATCAAATGCCTCGTCTTCCCTGCATCCATCAGCTTCACCACGAGCATTTCTTCATCCTGTCGGACAAGGACAGGATCCAAGTCTTCTTCCTTTGCCTTGATCACACATTGTGCAAGTGTCAAGTTCTCTGTTGTTCCATCCTCCTTCACAAACAATGCCGGCCTGTCCTTCAGCGCGTTGTATTCCTTCTGAGACAACCTTTCTCCGCTTGCCACAGACTTGTACACCAGCGACAGATTGTCTTCTTGCGCGCAGAAAGCCCTGCCGTGTATGGGCCATGGAGTCCATCTCTTTGCAGTCTGCAGGATTTTCACATGCTTGATGGATGTAGGCGTTGTTGTGCCATGTAGTTTCCAGGACTTGCAAGTAGTGGTGTGCACTGCCCTTCTACAGATGGCACGAATCATGACGAGCGAATCTCTTGGATGGTCAAGTTGAAGCGAAGAACATCTGGAAAAGGTATAGATGTGAGATGTCGAGCTAGCAAGTAACAAGTTGCGCTTCCGTCGCACGTTTCCACCACGTGCATGGTTCATTGCCTCCACAACCACAACCTTTTGCCCACCAAAACCTTGGACTCACCACAACGTCCTCATTCTTGCTTCACTAGTGCCACACCTTCCTCCTGAACGGAAAACTCTCGCAGAGAACCTTAAACCTTGACTACATCTCTGTTTCTGCATGACTTGTAACGTCTCTCTCTTTCCTCCCTCTCTCCTTCCTCCCCCTCCCCTCCCCCGAATCTTGCCTCAAGTCCACGTTTCCTTTCTTACAACCCCTTTCCGCTCAATCCTCTGCTGATGTTAACTCCACTTGCTCCTCCTCCGCTGCTCTTTCATGCACATTCTTTCGCTTCCTCATCGTCTCTCCCATGTATCCTCTTGTTGTTCTCGTCCACAAGCTCCATCTCTTCCCGTCTTCTCGCTCCCTGCTGCCTGTTACTTCATTTCCTCCCTTGCATTCCGTGAATCTGAGGTGTCTGTCCACCCCCACCACTATTATTTCATGATTTTCTCCACTACCCCACCATAATTATTACTAGGGAAATTGCGTTGAATTGGTGGGTACTTTCGAATTGAGTACCCACCCTCGGATTTCACTCGAACCGAGTCTGCCTCAACAAAACAATAAAAAGAACGTCGACGAATTAAGGAGGGAAATAGGGAGTCAAGGTTTGAAATTAAGGACTACAGATATGGATTAAGATGATAGAGTCGAAATTAAGGCGCGAAATGTAGCGTTGAAGGGCAGAGGAATGGCGAGCGAGGGTAGTGGAGGATGATAGCTAGAGGAGGAGAGGAGACGCAAAGGGAGGTGGAAGAAAGGGAGGAGACGAAGAGAAAGTAGTGACAGAGAAAGGAGTAGGAGGTGGAAGAAAGGGAGGAGACGAAGAGAAAGTGGTGACAGAGAAAGGAGTAGGAGATAAAGTAGAAAGCGATCGGGATTGAGTTTATTTCACGTTGCTCGCAATGTTTCGTTGGCAGGGGAACCCCATTGATGGACGAGAAGAAGAATCTGGGAGAGAATAGAGGGAAAGAAGAATCGAGAAGAAGAGTGCAGAAAGTCGTCGACAGCAGATCGAGGTGGAATACATGAAACGAATAACACAGGATGTGTAACGCGTATCGACGCAGAAGGGAGGAGGATGGAGATGTGGAGCTAGGAGGGAATGCAGATGCAGGCAGAGACTAGCATGGATGTAAGGAGGACTTGGAAGAGAGGAAGACAGCTGTGGAGAGTTCATCTTGGCATGCGAGTGCTGAGATTTCCGATGCAGGCAAGTTTTCAACGCGAAGTTGGTCGAATGAGCGCAGCGTCATCGAGACGCTGTTCGAGGGGGAACAAGCTCATGCCTCATGGCAGGCGTCCTTACGCCACCTCTGTGCCCGTGATTGCTTGAGGCTGACGAAGCTCTTCGAGCGCCATGATGGCAGGGAAGCACACTCCGAGCGCGCGGATGGGAACGAGCAAGGTCGTCTCGCAGTCCCCAGCGAAGAAAATGAAGCCCAAGAGCAGCTCGAAGAAGCAAAGTTTGGCGGACACGCCGGGATCAGCAACCAAGGCGAAGACTCACAAGAAGGCAGCAGCAAGCTCTGAGAAAAAATCGATCCTGAGTAGGCAGACGCGGATCGAGCATTCGAGAGAGGCTGGGAATGACGACTGCTTCAAAGAGGAGCTGAATGAGCAGCTCCGTGCCAATGAGCAGCTCCGAAGTGAAAATCATGAGCTCCGGATTGAGATTGTGAGCCTGGAATCCAAACTCAGAATGTCCCAGCAGGAGCTTCAAAGCCTCTCCCGGCAGTTTGAAAATCTGGCAGAGCAGAAGCAAGGCCTGGAGACCTCGTACTCGTTCAAGCTGAAGCAGTCGCAGAAGCAGACGGAGATGCTGGAGGGACACATCAGGTCTCTCAAGTCGGAGGTTCTGGAGGCGGAGAAGGGCTTGCTGATGAGGGAGCGAGCGAATCTGCAAGGGCAGGAGGACGCGACGAAGAGATTCGACGACATGCTGATTCTCAAGGACAGGGAGGTCGAGAGGCTGAAGAAAGCGCTCACAGATTCAATCAACCACAGCAACAACGTCACTCAGGAGCTGAGCAGACACAGAGTCATGGTCGAGCGCTGCAAGCGAAGAGAGTCGGAGCTGCAAGAAGCCATCGCCTCTGCACACCGGGAGGTCGACAGTCTTCGGAGCTCCCTGACCAACTACGAGCACTTCCGCCCCTTCTACTCTTCAGACTCAGGGCGAGACGAGTGCAAGGTGGCGCTGCTGGAGCAGACTCTGCAAAGTCTTCGCAAGGAGCTCAAGGGAGCGATCATTGCGAAGGAGGCGGCGATGGAGGCCCACGAGAACGAGAAGGAGGAGAAGCATATCCTTCTGGACGCCTACGACAAGCTCCGCACCGACTTCGAAACCTTCCAGGTCGAGTCGCGATCGCAGAGTGAGGAGGACAAGGCTGCCATCGACTACCTGGAGAAGGAGCTGACGCACATCCGCCATGTCCACAACATGCTGCAGAGGGACCGCCACGAGCTTGAGAATGCTCTGTCCGAGCACCAAAAGCGTGAGCAGCACTTCGAGGAGCTGTCGCAGGAGATCGGGGAGCACCGGGAGAAAACGCTGCTGGCCGAGCAAGAGTGCGTGCAATTGCGGCAACAGATCGAGACGCTGCGGAACGACCTGGACTGCTCTCTGTCGCAGAGCCAGCAGCACGTGGGGAGGGAGTTGCACATGAAGAGGGAGGTGGAGAAGATCGTCTCCTACCTCACCCGAGAGATGGAGAGCAGCAGCCATCAGAAGCTGATCCTCCAGAAGCATCTCAACGCGCTGACCTCCGACCTGGTCGCCTGCAGGGAGCTGGCGCGAGAGCTCGAGACTGTCGTGGGCTCGTCCTGGTCCAGGCAAGGGGCGCAGCCTGAGAGAGCAGAGATGGCAGTACAGGCGGCCCCGGCAGCAGACGTCAAGTACCCAGATCTCGAGGTAACCTTGACCTCTGACTTGGTTGAACGCCTGCTGATGGAGGTGCAGAAGGAGGCGCTGCAGGAGCAGGTCTGGAAGCTGAGGGGCAGGTTGGATGCCGAGGAGACTTTCAGACGGGAGTTGACGAACCGGCTTCCCATGCATGAGCTCGAGAGAAGCGGGAGGAGCGAGGGCGTCAACAGGAGCTCGAGGATGGGGGACGCGAGGAGGGCAGGGGCGGATGACTTGCAATCTGAGACGCCGGACACTTCGAGCCTCCTGCGCTTCGAGCACATGGGCCAGGCGGCACGAGAAAGTCAGGACGATGGTGCTGGTGGGGAAGATCCGAGCGAGGCCATGGAGAAGGAGCTGGAGCAGTACAAGGCGCAGGTCAGCGACAGCCAGAACGCCTCTGTTGACAACCTCCTCCGCTTCTTCGACATCGACCAGCACTTGGCTCCGTCCCCTCACGCCTCCGGCGACTCCAGGCAAGCGCTCGTTGTGTCTCGTCCTCGGCTGACTCTCGATGTTCAGGAGAGCTGCGGCACACAGGACTACCCGCATGCGGCAGGCGACGAGCCCGAGCAGGGACTCCAACAGCTCCTTGCCCGATACGCCTCAGCAGCCTCAGCAGCACTTGCATGCTCCATATGGCGAAGTAGCCAACACCAACCTCTCTCCTCCCATGCCCTCCACAGCTACCCCGCCGTCCACAGCTACCCCGCCGTCCACAGCAGGACGCAGCACCCCTGCCAGGCCCTCCTACCAGGTAGCGCCGAATGGGAACTGGAGCTACATGAGCCCTCCGGTCCCTCGTCATGACACTGGCATCCGAGAGATCAGCGAGCTCGCAGCGGAATGGCGGCAGATTGAGAGCCGGCGAGCAGTCTTGAGCATCAAGGAAGAGGCGCAGGTCGGTTTCTCCCCTGTTTTGCTCCCTTCCCCCCCGCCCCCCAATCCTTTTTCTTCCTTCCTCTCTTCCTTTAACTCCTAAAAAATCCCTCCGTTCTCCCACCTCCCTCCTCCCTCTCTCCTCTCCCTCTCTCTCCCTCTCTCCCTTCATTGTCATCTTCTGACTTTCCGATGGCACAGGCGCGCGTGCTCGATGCTCTCAAACAGGCAGGCGCCACTCCCTCCGCCCTCCGCAAGGTGTTGCCAAAGACAACTGACCATGATGTGCAGCTGATGAGACTGCAGGCCCAGGAAGTTTTGAACCACTCGAGCGAGAGTATCATGAATGTGTAAGAATGTCGAGTTATTTTGAACATGTTGAGGTCGGCAGCAATGTCAGAATGTGAAGTTAGATGAAAATTACAATGTCGAAGATGTCAACATCCTGAACTCCAACACTGCTGTGACATATATTGCTTCAGGAAACACGAGTAGTTTCTACATTATGCAATCAACTTCTCGCTCTGCACAAGTTCTCAAAGGTGTAAGGTGGTAAGCGAGATGTAACGATGTCACAAGCAACGTGCCAATGAGGAAGTCTGCTTTACGGTTGTCCCATTCACGTGAAATCAAAAGCTTTATTATTCCACAAACGGTTTCAAAGCATGCAATCACGACTTAAGTCTCACGCCATGTCAAAACACAAACCTTCACAACCTTGTATGTACACGCTGATCAAAATACACCATCGTCTACGAGGCGGAGCACAATGAACACGTCATCAACACTTCCTGCTTGTCCACAAGCAAGCACAAGAATCTCTTCGTCCCAGTCATCCCTCGTCAACACCTCTTCCTTCTCCAGCCCCCTCAAGCATCACCCGAGGGGCTCCCGTTGGTGGTCTCGCTCGACGTCCCATCGTTATTCGAGGAGCTATCGGCAAGCTCTTCGTCCGGGGCAAGGAACGACTCGGCATTCGCTGCCAGCTCGTCACACTTGCACCCTCCGTCGTACGCCTGGCCGCAGATACTGCAGGACGGGGCTAGGAAGTCGATGAACTCCTCCTGAGCGCTGCTGTAGATCTTCTTCTTGCCGGGAGAGGACATGCCGTCCGTCCTGGGCCTCTTCGAGATCCTCCTGAGAACTTCGTGCAGCCGCTCGAGGCATTTGGCGCGCTGCTCCGAACCCTTCTCATACTGCCCGGACTCTTTGATGATTCCATCCTGCGCGCAAGCAAGTTAGAGCAGGTCAAAGAGGATGGCGATCTAGTGGCATGAAGAGAAGGAATCAAATCTGGGGTATGATCTCACCAGAATCTTCCAATTCTCTTCCGCTCGCTCTCTCTTGCTCTTGGGTGGTGGTTGTGCAGTTTCCTGCGAGGGCTTTGGGCATGTGGACTGGATCAGTTCCAAGTAGGTCTTTCCGCTCGTAACATCGTTTGGTGGCATCTTCAACGCAATCAAACAGGAGGAAGGCTTCGCACTGGCATGTCTCCTTTCTGCAGTTCTCCGTTCCTCTCTCCCACCTCAAGCTTTTCGATCTCACAAGTTTCGCAACTGCAGCCCCTTCCAGCCTCGTGATAGAGGTCACGCCGCACCTCCTCGGAACCCACCAGAGCCTGGAGGTCAAGGTGAGGGAGGAGGTAGCGGGGGGGAGCAGACGGCGAGAGCGGGAGGGGGAGGGGAGGGAGGGTGGAGCAGCAAAGAGAGGGTCAGGGGGGAGGCGGGGGGAATGACGTGTGGCTTCGATTTTTAAAAAATCGAAAACAGTACTTTCCAAATTACTGGTACTGTTATAAAATTGATTTTTGTTCGTCGCACGCGCGGGACTTTTTTCTTTTTTAAATCTGTTGGGTTGACTGAAATATTTAAAAATTCTGACCGGAAATAGAATTGGTGGGGGTTGTCGGGACGGGGCCAGGCCTTTGAGGTACAGTTCGTAGGGGGTGGGGGTGGTTAATTTTGACACCGGCAGACGACAATGGCCTTCTCCTAGTGGAGACCTCAGGGGTACTTGGGAGTTGGGGGTGGAGTGGTTGAAGGTTGGAATGGTAATAAGGGGGGTAGGGTACGATCCCAAAATCCGATTTTACACGGGTACAAGTGGAATGTAGTTGATAGTAGGGGGTGGGGTTGTAATGAATTCGTAAAACTTTATTGAGTAGTAGGGACCTGGTAGATACAGTGAAAGCTAGCATGGTAGCTCAGTACTGAAATTACGACCTTTATAGAATGTTTCGTTAAAATATTTATTGTCGATGTACCTTTGCTTGTTGTACCGTTGTACGGTGCAGAAGAAACATCAAATAGAGGTCCCGCGGTACAAGATTTCGATTCTTAAATTCAATATTGGAAACCGGTAGACACTTTCTAGGCCACAATATTCAATGGTACGAAGTTTTTGGCCAATCGTAGAAAAATACATATATTTATAAAAAGTTTTAAGAATCTACTTTTAAAATAAGTCCGCACGTGCTGATGGATGCACCTGCGAAGAAAAAAAGAAAGATGCCTATAACTCACATGTATCATTTAAAATCAAAAACTTGATATAAAAGTTTTTTATAAACCAATTAAAAACCTCGATAGAACCCTCAAAACATTTTAAAGAAAAAATCACATTACAAATAGTTTCCAACTGTACCAATGATAGACCAAAAAAGTACTTCTCACCCGAATGTTGCCATTTTAATAAGCCTGGATTTAAACTTACATCAATACCTTTTAGTGCGCCTCTCTAGGTGGTTCTCGGGGTCCCTTTGGTCCCTTTGACTCGATCTGATCGCCTGAAACTTCAAATCTAGAGAAGATTGTATCAAAATATTCAAGAAAATTTGAAAACTACATTCGGAAAACGAAAACATTTCCCGGTTCCATCTGATCAGACGTAAAAATCTGCTGAGTACAAAAAAATGCCCGTGGGCTGCAGCTGCACCGAGCCCGCCTCCCTGGCAGCCTCTGGCCCTGGTGGGGCCGCCAGACCGTCGTCGGACTCCGAGCCTCCGTGCCACTGGCCGGGCCGGGATAGGCTTGGGCCGCCGGGCCGCGTCTGGTCCGATCCCGGAGTCCGGCGGCCCGGCGCGCACCGTCGGCCGCGCCCTCACTATGCCACGGATCCGATGATCATCACGGTGACTCAGCCTGAGCTGCCGTGTCAGTGTGGTGGCACTGCCGCAGTGCGGCAGACGGTACTTGAAGCGGTCTATTTACCGTAGTACGCTAATCAAGTTCCCGCGCGCGAGTTGGAGTCTCAGCACTGGTGACTGAGTCACTCAGCACAAGTTGACAGTGCCACGGTCGGACCGCCGCCGGCACTCATTGCCGCCGCAGTCGAGCCTCCGTCACCCGGCGACTGATGACTAGCCGCCGTGAGACTGTCAGGCTGCTGGCCCGGTGTGTGGGCGGGGCGGCCGCGTCACAGATTGACCAGTCGTGAATTATGCGGCCAGGCAGCCTGCCAGTACCGTACGGTGGGACTCCGTGGGGCTCAGTATGCATAGCAAGCAGAGATCAAGTCACAGTTTCATTTTGTTGTCATCCCGCGCATCTGATCGAACTCCCTCTTCCAAGTCCGTCCATCCACCTTGCAAGATGCGTTCTTTGCCAGACTCTTGCCTCCTGCTACAATCTTTGCGATTGGTTCGAACGTTGTCATGGTCCCGGTCGGGATTTTATCAGGGTTAGGCTCACCATAGAAGACCAGCCAATCCGAGACTTTCTTCACCTGAATGGAACCTCAGCCGACCATTTGCGATCAACACACACACGTGTGTCTTCCTACCTTCCGCTGCGGCTCCACCCGCACGGGAATCTTCGCCACCGGGTTCGTCATGTGTGGCCAGTAGAACTTCCCGTTCACTTTGGTGTGATGAGGAGCTTGAGGCCCTTCCTTGGGGCGGAACTTGACGACATCAGGCACTCTCGATCCCACTCCCACCAGGTTTCTCCTATCGTCATCCAGCTTTCCGAGCTGCAAGGAAGCGAGGTCTGTGATGTCTACTGTATTGCTGTACACTGGGTGTCGCCTCCTGGCCTTCCATGTTCCGTTGAGATCATAGTTCGGCATGGTAGCATCGGCCCCCCACGCAGCAGCAAACACTTTCACTTCTTTCTCCTGTACATCTACATCGCGGGCTGGCCGCTGGTCGAAGCCAATGTTCGTCATCAGCGTGTCCACCCGCTTCGGACCCAGCACTTTGTCCAGCAGCCCCTTGGTTTGCTCACTCAATCGGATTGGTTTACCAGTGTCCTTTACAACTTCCTTCGTTTGCCGTAGGGACCATCGTGTGAGGAGAGGAGGAAATGCAAGGGCATTCCGCTTGCTGCCGAGCTGCTGTTCTGGTTGCACAAATTCTCCTTTCTTCTTCCATTCCTTCAGACCCACAGTGCTGGCAAACAACTCAAAGTTCTTTCCCAGATCTCTCCTCAACTGTTGATACAATTCGGACTCTACTTTGACATCATCGTCAGGTACAAGAACCATCTTTCAGCCACTCCGTGAACGGTCGAAAATCCCAGGATGACGCCCGGAATACACAATTTCAAGAGCTCCAACCCTTGGACAAAAGATGTAACCAGCTCGATTTCAGATCATGCTGCTATCGTTATCGTTGTTCTTTGATAATAGCATTCATTGCATCCCCTCATCTTCTCCCCTTATCCTATCTCGCTACCTTTCACGCCATCACCACTCACTGTCGCCGCCTATCCCCATTCGCCGCTAACGGTCCCCACCCAGCACGGGTCTACCTTCATGATACTACCCTACCCTACTGTAAGTGGAAAATTTACATTGAAAACATCCCTTGTAGATAATACCCCACCCCATCGTAGACAGGTCACTCAACGGCCGCTGTCCCTCATCCCCAGCAGTTTGTAACTGGTCTGTAACTGCAGCAATTCTGACCCTCATCCCCTCACAATATTAACCTTTTCTGATTCAGTTGACCCTCGTCCCCTCGCATGTTCCTTTTGAACGACCTTGAAAAATGGCGGGAGTTGAAGGGAGGGGAGGCGAGGCGAGGGAGAGGGCAGGGTAGAGAAGGGAGCGAGAGGGGGAGATAAGAGACAGTTCAAGAAAGAATATGTCAATGTTTCAAGATTAAAGGACAAGAGTGAGGAGAAAGTAAATGGAAGGAACTCTGAGGCACCTGGGAAGCTGTACTATGGGTTTTGCTCCCAGATGTTTCTTGTGAAGAATGATCTAGGAAACCTTCGAGTAGCACCTCACAGCATGCGTTTGATAGTAGAAACAATTATGTTTGTATATCGAGGAGAATGATGTCTTACATGGATTCTGACAGTTTCGGCATCTGGTTCCTTTCCTTGTCAAGACAAAAACATGTCTGTTCAACCGCCCCGACGTCAGCTTTCTAGAGAAGAGCAAACGATTCGAGACTATTGCATGGGAGAAGATGGGCGCCGCAAGGCAGAGAGCACTGTTCTTCTTCATGTGTCGCACAGCAACCTGAAGAAAACGTTCTTCCAAGAGATTCGACTAGACCTACACATGAGAATCGGTACCGTCAAGCAGAAACTTGAATTCCATTGTGGTACATCCGCCATAAGTAACAGAGTGAGTACGATAAGAGTATGACGGCTTGGTCTGACAGTGGGTTTGCTGCAGCTATTCTTGTACGATGAACGGGGGCAGGTAATGTCTGAGTGCGAGGACGACAAGATGCTTGGTTACTATTCCCCATACGACGGCTGCAGGCTGCACATAGTAGATGACGATCCAAACTCTGTAAGTTCCCGCATCTCATGTCCTCCGATGCATCGCTCTTGACTTTGGTTCAGCTATCGGCTGGTGGATGGCTGGAAGATGTTTCATTGGTCACTAAGTACGAGATCTCCGAGGAAGCGTACAATGCCCGCAAGAACACATATCGCAAGTTCAAGGAGGAGAAGCTGAAGGAGGACCCGGAGTGGTCGCTCAAGAAAGAGATCGACGCGCGCAAGGCCAAGGCGGGAATGGAACCCTCGTCCGACTCGAAGAGCAAGATTGAAGACGACGAGTACATGGCGACCGAAGCCTCTGCCATCAAGGTAGGTGACCGATGCGAGGTCGCAGGAGGTCGAAGAGGTTGTGTGAAGTACGTCGGGAAGATCCCCGAGCTACCAAAAGGTGGGTTGAAGCATCTTGCTTGCTGCGGTGACTGAGGGTCTCCATCGAAGGTTGGTGGGTTGGAGTCCAGTACGATGAGCCAGTGGGGAAGAACGATGGAAGTGTCAAGGTGCTTTCAACGAACCTTCTTTCCCCTTCAGAGAACATGATGCTTTCTCCTGCAGGGTGTGAGCTACTTCGAATGCCTGGACAAGTACGGAGGGTTTGTAAGGCCAGACCTTGTGCAGGTGAGAGATTGATGTGCACGATATAATCCCGGCTCGAGTTCTTACTCTGGGCTCTCAGGTTGGGGACTTCCCCGAGTTGGATCCCTTCGCAGACCTGGAAGATGAAATTTGATCTGTAGCATACGTAGCATACTGTGACGACAATGAACTTGCATCTGGACTAACGTGTCTGGCTACCCTATCATCTTTTTCATCCGGCCCGGGAGGGAATAGGAGTTACCCGGGCCGCCGTCCGACGGTCCACTTGAACCGCTCAATCACTGAGTAGTCGGTCACGCCGAACACTGTTCGTCCGGGCCCGCTGTTCAAAGTTTTACAGACTTTTACAAGTTTTTTTTAAAAGACTTTGTCGTTCTGAATTCCCGCCAAATTCTGATGAGGTCGTTGACCCACATCTAGTTTCAGTCTCAATAAGTTTTTGGTGGTCAACAGGGAGACCCTGATCGCCTTCGAAAACTTGTTAGTATTCCCTCAATCTTGTCCTCTGTAAATTTCAAGTTACATACGTAAATTTTGTTATTTCTTTTGTCCATCGCTCCCACTCACTCCAAATTCTGATTACAATTTTGAAATATTCAGGGTACATTTCAAATTTTGTTCAATTTTGAATTCTCCCGCGTAAATTCTTGGTTGATGGAGGGGAAGTCTGAATGGCTGACTACCCCTGTACTTTCTCAACCCACCCACCCCATTGATGTGAAGCACGGGTAGGTAGTTGAAATACATTTAATCTGCAAGGTGGGGTAGTTCGTGGTTGGCCTCGTAGCTCCCGTGTAGATAGCAGACAGGGAATTGGTCGGGTGTTTTCATATGCCAATATAAGGTAGGGTGGTACTTTCGAGATGGAGGGTGGGGTACGTTTGGTTTTGGTGTGATGTGGAAGAGGGAGTTGAGGGTTTTGAGAGGGTGGGGTATTCACATGGGTGGGGTCTTGAAGGCAGGGGTGGTATCGGATTGGGGTGGGGGTTGAAAGCGCGCGCAATGGGTAGACGAGGGGGAAGGGAGGAGGACGATGAGGACGGGAGAGGAGGGAGGGAGACAAGAGGAGGAAGGGAGACGAGAGGAACCCGAACAAGGCTGAGGAGAAATGCAGAGAGCGATGTAGATGACAGCGATGACGGAGAGCTGGTCCCGAGTACCAGGAAGAGAGGGAGGAAAATAAGTGACGACAGCGACTTCGATGGGGAGGGCGAGGCAGACGCTGAGATGGAGGAGAACGATGGAGACGAGGACGATGAAGAGGAGGAGAGTGAACCCGAGAATGATGGCGATGAGAATGAAGAGGATACATTGGAGGACGAGCTCCATGACCTAGCAAACGACGACGCTCCGTCTCGGGCCACGAGATCCAGGCATGTGACGCAGGAGCCGCAAGGAAAGAGGACATCCATGCCGGATACACGTCAGTCCCATCCTGCTTCAGGCAAGATCAAGTCGCGGTGCATGCCGAACGGCGACGAGGCGGCGGCGTGGACGGTCAGTGCGTCACAGATCATCAGGACTTTGCTCAAGAACAAGGAGTGTGACTCGATCTTCAGTGAGCCTGTGAGAGCACGCGACCCTCCTGAGCTCCTGCTGCCCTTCCTCTAACTTTAATGCCGGCGTGTAGGTGGATGCGAAGAGTCTCGGCCTCAATGACTACTTCGATGTCATCAAGCGCCCCATGGACCTGGGGACGATCCAGACGAACTTGAAGCGGCACTCTTACAAGAGCTTCTTTGAGTACAGAGACGATGTCATCTTGACCTTCGACAACGCCATGCAGTATAACCCCCCGGACAACTATGTCCATGGGCTGGCTGCCAAGTGCAAGAAGCGGTTTATGGAATTATGTGAGCAAGACAGTACCCTGTACCAGCTTCTGCACCCCGGGAGCGGTGAGAATCCTCGGATAGACGAGGCAGAGGCTGTTGGCTGACTGTGTTCCTTGAAGATCCCGCCGTCACGAATGGGGATGCTAACGGTGGCAGCGCTGACGGTCGAAGTTTCCGCAGGTACAGCGGAGGATGGTTGGGATTGGGAGTGGTGCGGTAACTGGGTTGCCGATGGTTTGCAGGACCCGGCGACGAGATCTTGACGACTCTCGCGTCATCAACGGCAAAGATAGCCATGCCAGCGACTCCAACGACAGCGGATATGTGGAGCCCGAGCAGGAGAGGGGGTAAGTGCTGGCGACTGTCCTTCCGTCACTGATCTCCTGGTTGCAAGTTACCGATTGCGCGAGCATCGTTCTCGTCCTCAAATCTACGCGGAAGAGATCATGATAGCGCAAGCTAACCCCCGGCCAGGCACAATCGCAGGAACACGTCTGACAGCCTGTCCCTGTACGTAAAGGACTCCCTAGAGAAGAGTCGTGGGAAGGGTGGGGGCAAGGAAAACGCTGGTGTCTGGACCAGGAGGAGTACTGTAGTCACCGAGTGTGGGAAGAAGTTGAGGTGCCCTCGTTGTGCTCGTGTGTGTGACAGCTGAAACCAACGTGACGCATGCAGAGTGTTTGAAACTGATGCTTCTCACTCCGGGGAGGATGTGCCTCTGTCGGCCGGGTGGACCAAGCAGCTCAAGATGTTGAAGTCTGGAGGGGCCAACGGTCGCGCAGGCTCCTCCTCTGACGATGACCAAAATGGAAGTACGTCCTGTCGCTATTCGCTGCTTGACTAGCTGACGGTCGATGCAGGCAAGGTGAAGAGCAACCAGGGTTACACGGAGGACGGGGAAGTGAAGCCGATCAACGCGGACATAAGCCCTATGTCCATCGACCAGTCGGTGAGTCCCGCAGGAGGATGCGTGCTTCTGAAAGTGCCCCGCTCCTCACGTGGTTGATCAACAGGTTTCGTTCGAGTCGATCGGGGGCCTTGACGCTCACATCAAGAGTCTCAAGGAAAGCGTCTTCCTCCCGCTCACTTACCCCGAGATTTTCTCCAAGTTGGGGATCAAGGCACCCGGAGGAGTTCTGTTCCATGGACCTCCCGGGACAGGGAAGACGATGATGGCTCGGGTAACTTCCAAGGCCTGCCGGGATGGTGCGTGGGTGACTTCCTTGCAGGCGCTAGCAAACTCGTGCAGCCAGGGATCGCAGAAGATCTCATTCTTTATGCGCAAGGGAGCCGACTGCCTCAGCAAGTACCACGGAGAGGCTGAGAGACAACTGAGGTTGCTGTTTGCGGAGGCTGCCCGACTGCAGGTAACGGCGACTTGCCCTCGCACCCGATGATCCTGAACGTTCACCCAGCCCTCTATCATCTTCTTTGACGAGATAGACGGGCTGGCCCCAGTCAGGAGCTCTAGGCAGGACCAGATTCACTCCTCCATAGTCAGCACTCTCCTCGCCCTCATGGACGGCCTTGACAAGCGAGGGATGGTGGTCCTCATCGGAGCGACCAACAGGCCGGATGCGGTGACGTCGCTCTCCATCCTCCTCTCCTCCGGCACTCACGGCTCCTCCGACAGGTCGATCCGGCGCTACGCAGGCCGGGGAGGTTCGACCGAGAGTTCTACTTTCCTCTCCCTGATGCTGCCGCAAGAGCCAAGATCCTAGAGGTCAGGCTGACCCCTCCATGTCGACCAGCTAGTCTGATCGCTGCCCACCTCAGATTTACACCAAAGACTGGAAGCCTCCGCTCTCCAAGAAGTGCATTGAGCAAGCAGCGAACGCTTGCGTGGGGTTCGGAGGAGCGGATCTCAAGGCTCTATGTACGGAGGCTGGCATCCGGGCCCTCCGCCGCACGTTCCCACAGGTGAGAGGTGGAGGAACAGCGAGCAAGATGCGCTGAAAGCCTGTCAACACAGATCTACACGCAAGACTATCGGCTAAAGATCGACAAGGACAAGCTGTTCGTGACGGAGGAAGACTTCAAGGAGGCCATGGCGACCATCAAGTGCTCGTCGCGTCGATCAGCCCCGTGAGAACCCTCCTTCTCTCTCCCTGCTCTGATCGCCTGTGCAGCTCCCTTGGCGTCACCCTGCCCAACTCGCTGCTGGACCCTCTCTACGGTGACCTCGTCAAGTCCTTCGAGCGGCTCTGCGAAGTTTTTCCACTGGGCAAACCATCCCTGTATCGACTGAAACACACGGTCGACGAGATGCGAAATCAGTTCAAGACTGGGGAGGAGGAGGAGGAGGAGGAGGAGGAGGAGGAGGGAGTCAGGGAGGGAGCGAAAGCGAACGCTGATGCCGTCACGGACAGCGGCGGCGATCCGGCCAACGGCAGCAACCCCACAGCCAGCTCCAGCAAGCACGCTGTGTACGCGGGGGACTTCGAGATACAGAACCTTGCTTCATTCAGGGGAATGGACGTGGTGTACCGACCGAGAGTCCTACTGTGGGGCAGGGCAGGGGACGCGCAGAACCACGTGGCAAGAGCTCTCATCCAGGCGCTTGACCCGATGCCGACGTTCGGGATCGGGCTGCAAGACCTTCATACCTCCACTGGGAGCGGAGACGTGAAGACGCTCGAGGAGGCCCTTGTGTCCAAGTTTGCGGAGGCTCGCAACCGAGCACCGTCGATCCTCTTCCTCCCGGACTTTCACAGGTGTGAGGAGGAGGGGGAGGGGGAGGCGGCGCGGTAAGGTAGGGGGGCCGGGGGAGGAAGAGGAGAAACAAGAGCTTCGGTACGAGCCTGACCGCGGGCTGTTCTCCCAGGTGGTGGAAGTCGGCGTCGGACGGACTGAGAACGTGTCTGGATACATCCTTGTACAACCTTCCTGCTTCACATCCTGTCCTACTGCTTGCGACGGCTGATGCTGAGAGGGACTACGACATTCTCCAGCTCATGAAGTTCTCAAGGATCTTCAACCTCTCCCATGCTCACCAGCTGAACCCACCGACGGTGGAACATCGTCGCAAGTTCTTCTCCCCTCTCGTGCGGGATGTCAAGAGGTGGGAGATGAGGAGGGAGGAGGAGCAGCTCAGCTACGAGGAGCTCGAGAAGGACGATACGCCCGTGAGGTGGCAGGCGGTCCCGGAGCTGTTGGACCCGCAGCAGATTGAGCGCGACAAGAAGACCATGCGCGGGCTGAGGGTGAAGATGCGGGAGATTTGCCTCAAGTTGTACCAGAACAAGAAGTTCAAGGATTTCTCGTCCCCGGTTGATCCTCTCCCTCCTTTCCTCCAGCCTCCTCACCTGCCCTCCAGGTCGTCCAGCAGACCCACGTTCCCGAGCACGTGCGGGAGAGCTACAAGGCCTGCATCGCTCACCCGATGGACCTCGCGACGATGCTCTTCGACATCGACTCGAAGATCGTCCGGTGTAAGTCGCATTTCATGCAGAGGATCTACCTGATCCGCGACAACGCCATCCGCTTCAACAACCCTGACGGTCTTGCCCTCCACCTGCCATTCCTGCCTCTCACCCGCTCCCAGGACTCGGAGGCTCGCGGGCGGCCGCCATGGCGAGCGAGGACGGCAGCTCCTCCGCCCTCTTGGGGCAGCAGGACACGTCGAGGTCGCGACCGTACGTCATCCCGCTGTCGCAGGAGCGCGTGCTCAAGATCGGGGCGATCCTAGAGATCGAAGTCCAAGACACGGAGACGTTCGAGAACGAGTGGGTGCCGGGCCGGGTGATCAACGTCGTCGGCGACCCGCTGTACCCCGACAAGGTGAGAGCCACTGCCCGAGGAGCAGCCCAGCTGACTTGCCCTGAAGATCGCCAAGTTCGAGGTCCACATCGTGATCGAGAACCTGAAGGAGAAGGGCGAGTGGAAGGACATCTACTCCCCCGACCAGGAGAACAAGGAGTGGCGATGGCCGTCGGCTCAGGCGGCACTGGACAGCCAGAGGGCGAAGAGCCTGGCGGACCAGCAGGCGGCGCAGAGGTTCAACGACATGATCTGCAGCAAGGCCAACAGCCTCTGCGACGAGGCGGAGGAGTGCTGGGAGAAGGTTGACTCCCACCTGGTGAGCTCAGGGCGACCGGAGCCGCAGGCTGTGTTGACGTCTGGTGGCAGGTGAAGGAGGGGGAGCGAATAGTCACCAAGTACAACTTCGACATCGAGTGCGATCAAATCGCCCGCCCCGCGGCCCCCCACCCTCAGCCTGCGAGCAAGAGGATGCCGGCGGTCGGCGCGGACGGGCATGCGGCGGGGGATACGAAGTCGGGCAACAGGATCAGGACGGACGCGCTGATCCGAGTGAAGCGAAACGTGATGGGAACTGATCAGTGGGTTGAGGTATGACCTCCTGGTCCCATTGAGCATGTGCATCCTCCTTTCCTGCCTTGTTTTCCATCTCTGCTCCCCATCATCATCATCATCATCATCATCATCATCATCATCATCATCATCATCATCATCATCATCATCATCATCATCATCATCATGCGCTGCTCACAGTCGAGCAGGCAATCATCACGAGCGTCCTCAACGAAGCCAGCTTCCTCGCAGAACCTCTACCCAAGACGACTTACCCAACCATCCTCACCCTACGGGCTGCTGACCTCAACGCTACCTGGTGCTGGGAGCAGCAGCAGGTTGAGCAGCAGCAGGTTGAGCAGCAGCAGCACAGGAAGAGGCAACTCAGCACCGAGCCCTCTGTGCAGGAATCGGTTGAACCTCCCCTCCCATGCCTGCTCCTCGGCGATCTGAACTCTGACCAGGCACAGAAGAAGCAGAAGCTCGAGGAACCGGCAGCGGATGGCGAGGGCTTGGGGGATGCAGCGATGGCAGAGGTGACGTGCTGCCTGCTGTCAGCTGCAACTCGTTGACGCCTCGCAGAAACCCAAGGAGGCGGAAGAGATGAACAACATCAGCAACATGCGCACTGAGAACGATCCTCAGCTCGTAGAGAACCTGGTAGGAAGTCCTCCCTCCCTCCCTCCCTCCCTCCCTCCCTCCCTCCCTCCCTCCCTCCCTCCCTCCCTCCCTCCCTCCCTCCCTCTCCCCCTGCCCACTCCTCACCTCTGCTTCCCTCACGACTTCCTTCTTCTTCTTACCCCTTCATCCCCTTTTTGTCTTCATCCCCACTCTCACCTCCCGCCTGCGCTCTGACCGCATGGCAGGCGTCCTTCATGAAGGAGACAGTAGAGAGCGTGACGGAGGGGCGGAGCTGGGACGAGCTTCTGCAACTGCTGGCCTCCTGCTACCTGGTCATCTCCGAGGAGCGGCACACGGCGGACCGCTTGTCCGTCCTCGAGAAGATCGTGGGGTCAGGACGCGGTGGCTATGGCAATGCAACCAGTGCAGCGACAGGACGGGGCAGCAGTGAGGGCAGGAGATGACCCCTTGAGTTTCAATCAATCTCTATCAATCATCCTCCAGTGTCAGTACCATCCTCTCTCCTCCCTCAGCCCGCCGCTCCTTTTCCTTTCGCTACTCCTCCCTCTCCTCCTCTTATTGTACAGTTGGCTCCTTTGCTTCTCCTACTGCTCCTTGCCCAACTGAACTCTCAGCTCGTCTTCGGCTTGCGATGGATGGGCACGAGGCGGCTCTTGAGCTCCGCCACTATCTCCTCCTTCGTCCACTCCACCGGCCCGAGCTGCACGTAGTGCTCGGCGAGCTTGTCGAGCTGGCCGCTGAACGTAAGGTACCCGACCGCCATGTTGTCGATGCCCTCGAAGACCAGCCCGCCCTCCTTGGCGTACTTGTCCAGCGAGCGCATGAAGCTGGTAGGCAGCTCGCTCCAGTGTTTCCGGGAGTGAAGGTGATGCTCCACGTGATATCCATCCTGCAGCAAGGAGAGTCAGAACGGAAAGAACAAGGTCGCAACTAGCACTGGCTCACATTGAAGCAGCGCTGGTTGCTGGAGACGTTGATCACGTTGTAGGCGAGGAGGTAGTTGCTGTTCGGGTTCCGCGGGCTCACGAAGATGTGCTGGCTCCAGTTACCCAGCATGAGGAGGAAGGAGGTAACAAAGGTGTAGATCCAGAACACCCACATGGTCCCCACCGGACTCATCTTGTACAGGGCCGAAGTGGTCACCATGAAGAATCCGATACAGGAAACGCAGTGGAATGCCAGGCCATATCGCTGCCTCCTCAGTGCGTAGTAAGGGAGCTCGAACCATATGGCGATCAAGAAGCGAAGCCAGTAGAAGATCAGATGGCCGAAGTTGTCGCGCTGGAAGGGCTCGGTGGAGCTAACGTCATAGGGGAAGACGTTGTTCTCCACATGGTGCATGACGCAATGGTGCAGGTAGTAGATCCCGCTGGGGATGCCGAAGAACGGCGACAGAAGATACGGGGGAATGAGGTTCAAGGCCGAGTACTTGAAGATGGCACGGTGTGAGCTATAGTGAAGGCCTGGGAAAAGAAAAGTCAGGGTCGGGTGAAGGATAAGATCAGAGCTGCAGGCACCGAGGATGAAGCGCTCTTGGTATGTTATCAGGTTGGTTACGACGTAGAGGAGGCCGAAAACATGAGACTGCAAGTAGAACACTGCTGCAGCCGCTGGAAGCGTCGTCACGATGATGTTGAAGAACGCCAGGGCCATTGGTAAGTCACGCTCATCGATCAGCAGAGTCTTGATGCCCTCGATCATAAACCTGGGAGGGTTGAACAGCCACTCGTTCCTCGCCGCCTCTATGTCCTCGTTCACTAGCACTGGAAGGCTCCCGAGCTTGCCCGTCGTATGATCGGAGGCCTTCTTGGCCTGGAGGGTTGGGGAAGGAGCTGGCGACGAAGTAGACGCCAGAGACTCCAGCGAGTCCGCGGAAGGGACAGCAGGTAGCTTCAGACCATCGTCTTCAGTGTTGAAATTGCTTCCTTTGGCTGCAAATTTGGCCGTATTCTGGTCATGGGCGAGCGCTCCTGTCTTCGCCATCGGAAGTTTCTCAGGGAAAGGAGTTGGAGTTCAATGCGCTGCCAAAGTCTGCCAAAGAAACGCGTTAAAGGCTTATCGAACGTCTTCAATATAGTATCATAATTGGACTATCATCTAGCACATGCTCGTTCATCACAGGCCATGTTCGATGGTAGTATCATTCACAATCCTAGTTCAGATCCGATTCCATATGCTCTTCGATTCCATGAAACACCACACTTATCATGAAATACTGCCTTCAGCTTCAACTTCCCCTATCTCTATACCTTCCCTACATTCTTCTCAAACCATATGAAGGAGCAGGATTCAAGATCTCGCCATTTCTTCCTCTTGGTACAGCTTCTGCGAGTGTCCTCCTTCGGCTCAAACCCACCATCTAAATCGCTTCTCAAAACAGCTCTCTCCTCTCCAAGTTGTTCTCTCTCTATCCTGTATCTCGGATCTTCTTCCTCCTCTGTCCTCTCTCTCTATCCTGTATCTCAGATCTTCCTCCGCCTCTGTCCTCTCTCTCTATCCTGTATCTCGGATCTTCCTCCTCCTCTTTTCTTTCTCTCTGTCCTCAAACTCCTTCATCTCAGCTTCATCCTGTCTCCGATTTTCCGTGCCATGCCGTAAGTTCCACTCTACTTCCATTCATCATTGTACCCCTCCCCTCTACTCCTACCCCCTGGCTCCCACCCCCCACCCCCTTCATCAGGACCCCTCCGCAATGTCTCAATGTGTACCCCCACCCCCTGATCGTCTGTCTTTCCTTCGATGATTACTCAAACGGCCTCATCCCCGTCCATTTTTGGTCCAACCCCCCTGATCGAGTCCACTTTGAAGCCATTTAGTACGGGTGTCCAAAGGTACCCCGACCCCCTTCGACAATGGGACACAAACCCCTTCAACCGAAGGGTTTCAATCACCCCACCCCCTTCGTCCTTCAGTTCAAATTGGGGAGCTCTCAATCCCTGCAGCTGTTGGACCCCTACCCCCATCTCTCAGTTCATATGTACCGGTGAAATCGTCTTACAAGGATTGTAATTGGCCCACCCACCTCCAGGGTTCACTGATTACTAATTTTGACCATCAAATGTCAGTGCTCCAGCCAAACAAGTGGGGGTTGGGGGGTCCCTCACCTGCAGGATCCCTTTAAGCAGACCCACCCCTCCATCGGACCAGCCCACTACCCAGGCCTCTAGGATTGCGACAGACCACCCACCCGGTTCCACTTTGACTCTTTAGGCATTGGCACCAACCCACCCCCAAGTAAAAAGCACCATACGTACCCTGGTAATATGACCCCCCACCCTTTGAATAAGCCGTAAAAAGGGCTTCTTGAAGGACCTCGTACCCACCACCACCCCCTCCAGCGTGTGGATATCTCCTCCGTCCGCCCAAAATACTTGGGGCCTGGGATCCCTGCAGCAGTACACAACCTGGTACGACCTATTACTTACATGTGTTATAAGATTACTCAAACCGCAGTACAGACGCGGGAAGTACATTACCTGTGACAGTACACAAGTAAAAGGATTGTTTTGCAGCTGCTGTGTGTGGGGCAGGAGGGGGTAGGGGTAGTTTACCTTGCGGGCAGTCATTTGTACGTTTCGAATGTCAGACCTGTCACGTGACCTGAAAACATTTGGTTTCGGGTTGCTCAAAAATATTTTGAATTTTTACTCGCAAAACTTGAAATGTTAGGATGTGAATCAAACATTCTGTGCTTATCTCAAGATGTGCGTTTGGCAATGGGTGACACATCGCTACCATGTCTAGCAGACTCGGAAGACGGGGTGGTGCTACTGATAGTTCATAAGACGGCATCCCTTCGTGTCAATCATTTCGAGGGGGTGGGGTGGGCTCAGTGACCCCAGGGACGTAGAGGTAGGGGCTGGGGTGGGGTCATGGATGACTCGGCGACCCATAGAAAAATCCGGTGGTTTTAAGCGAAGATGCCCATGACCGGTGGTATCTGGTGAGTAAATCATGTAGTACCATCAGCGTACGGTACGGTCTTTGACTGGACTCGGGACCCGGCAACTATGTCGCCGGGGCCGCCCGGGCCCGACGTCAGTTACTGACAGTGATCGGTGTTGCGTTCGCAGAAGGTTAAAATTTTATTAAGACTCAACGGACGTCAAAAAGCCCTCCCTCCCCTCCCCTCCCTCCCCTCCCTCCGTCCCTCCGTCCCTCCCTCCCTCCCTCCCTCCCTCCCTCACTCCCTCCCTCCCTCCC